AGGGTGGGGGGTACATTTATAGCAGTTAATTAATAGCAATTCATTAGCCGTCTTCTTGCTTCCCAGTATCTCTGGCTTTCCGTCGTTGTCTTTAGGGCTGGACACCTAATCAGGTGGGTCTTCTCCATTTCCTCCTGTAGGTTACATAGAGGGCATGTGGGTTGAGTGTATACTCCCAATCTGTGAAGGTGTTTTGCTAAGCAGTCGTGTCCGGTACGTAGTCTAAATTCATCAACGGCTTCGATTCTTGGCCAGTCGGGTATGTCGGAGAGTGCCACTGTCCACTGTTTCTCCTTTGCTCGAGCTTTAATTTCTTTGCACCTTGAGGTATGGAATTCTCCCCTGATTGGCGCCTTCATTGTGTGGAAAGACATCGGTCGGTCCATGCATTTATCCCTTAGCAAGTGTTTCAGCAAGCTCATTGCCTTTAGCAGGTGTTATTGCAGTTAATTGGCATCATACAGCATACACATGTATGGTCTCTCTCTCTCTCTTTCTCTACTTCAAATTTAGGATTTCGATCTCACCTAAATTTTGCACTAATCACTTGATCTCGTGTTGAGTTACCACTTTGCGCTCTCATAACCAAACGCTCATTTTGTGTCTTTGTAGTCCAGGAGAGCCATCGGGAGCGGTGTGTGGTGACCTGATTAAACACGAGAGCAACTACAATGGAGGCAGTTCCACCAAGGGGGGCTCTGAGTTGGAACGAGGTCTGCTCCAGTCCTACCTCTCTCGATTGGGCGGAAACTATCAAAGATTTGGCGCAACTCATTTGAGAAGACCTCGACAGGTCAATCAACAAACTAACGGCGGCACCGTGAATGATGGAGCAGCAGCAACCAACGGCACTGGCTCGAATCCCTGTTGGCGAAACAGTACCATCCTGCCTGCGCACTCAGGGAGTGTATTTTATCAACAGCAGATGCAATTGGAGCAACAGCATTCCCTACAAATGCAGCCAATCGATCACTCCATTCAACAAAAATTGTGAGTTTAATTGTGCGGTAGGGGGGGGGGGAGGTTGGGGCATTAGACGCTTCGTTCTGACTATAATAGTCAAGTTCAAGTTCTCGAAATTTAATTATGACACTTGATCAAATGCACAAATCTAATATTATTTAATTGTGCACCTAACTGATTGCAGATTTCAATTAGATTGATTTTGGTTTAGTCCATAACGCTGCTTTAGGAAATGTGAAGGAATGCTTTGTTCAGGAAGTCCATAGATTTAAGCATGTAAGATTTGGGCATGTAAGAAGAAGCTTAACTTAATGGTCATCAATTTTCAAGTCGCGAGTTATAAAATATCGACTTTTAAACTTATTTCCTCTCTATTTTTGATAATGCCTGACACCGGCCGACCCTTGAAGGCACCTTTTCTATGGGAGAAATGTTGCACTCATTCTACAATCTGGCTGAAAGTTTTCAAAGTTTTTTTTCTTCAACTTCTAAAGATACCCCTCTCTCATAGATATTTCATTCGTCTAGTTGTAGTCTTACTTTCGAATTGCAGAGTTGATTGGCCGTTTCATATGTAGATGCAGTTAATATTTAATCATAAATTCGTTGGGATATCTCCTGAAATTGCTTTTGAGTAACCCTAAGTTTGTTTGAATTCTAATAGGAATGGTAGCTTAGTTGAACTGCCCTCGAATGCCACCTCCGAATCTTGGCACTTCTGTTCTGCTGATCTTCAGACTATCACTTCCGCAATGCCTGTTGCCACTGTGATGGCGTCAACCACTTCCTCAATGCCCGCCAACCTCCACCTGGTGAATACCTCGACTGGTGCAACTGTTCCTGCCTCTGCAACGGCAACTATGATCCTCAGCCCCACAAACGCCTTCCATGATATCGCCAATGGAAATTGCACTACAGTGGCCAATTCTGTCCACCCAACCATTGGTGCTGCTATGAGTGCAGATGGTTGCTCTGGTGGGAACACCGCGGTCTTTATGCCCTCGTCTGTAGGGGGAAGTTCGGGGAGTTCTGGCCTTGTGATCACCGCTGAAAGCTCTGCCTGCTCGATTCCTGCAGCTACCACGACGAATGGGCATCAGAATCGCTACCATCATGATTGTCAGGATAACTTCATCTCCATGGATGTGAGTTCTAGTGTCATTTCCCTTTAGCGTTAGTAATTTCTTCATTAACTTCAAAGTAAAAGTCAATTTAAGGCCATTAACTCAGCGACACAATTATGTAAGTTATGCCTTAGCGTTAAAGTAACACTCTATTGTAGCAATTAATTGTGCGCAACATTTGTCTTCGAGTGTTCATCAGCGAATTTCTATTATTATTATTATTTCAGTTTTCGCCCGAAATTCCACCACCTGCTCAAGAAGATGAAATAGAAGAAATTCCAGACCTCCTAGATGTGCAGAATTTTCTTAACAAGTTTCCTTTCACTGACAACGATGAAGAGGACTTAATGACTTCAATAGGTCTCGATAGCATCAACTCTAATTCCAATAATATTATTAATAACGTTGGCTTCAATTCCCACAAAAATGACGTCAAGCTCCCTCCAGGTCCCCAGTTCTTTATTGCTCCCGAGGAGGATTTTTGGAATTTTCCGGGTCTTATGGATATGTCTTGAACTGCCTGATCTACGTGCCTCTTTCTCTCTCTCTCTCTCAATGTGCCATCGTCTTTCATTCCCCCTTCCCCTCTTCCTCCGTTTCCCATTGTATTAACAATCTCATTTACTCATTAAATTTGTCACACACAAACACTCTACTGAGATTTTATAAGTAGGCCTCTCTATTCGTCTGTAAGGATATCTTGCTCACACCTTGCGGAAAAAATAATCCTAAACAGTGTTTTTTCCTGTGTTTTATCTTTTAAAGTGCAAGCTGTGAATAGCAGGTGCTGTTGTTGACTCTTTACTAGGTGTTTTCTTTTCACATATTTGGCCGGTGTGCTTCAAAAATTCTCGACTGCAGTACACAGCAATTCCTTTACAATTTTAATTCCACTTTCTTCATTATTTACTTGATGACAACGATAATGGATGATGACTCGAATCCAAGTGAAGCATGGAAGCGTTTCTCAGCACTATGAGAAGAATCGGACATGAACTGATGATTCCCAGTGGAGACATGAGGCTCTGGCTAGTTGACCGTTACATAAAAGACAACCTTGAAGCTTGGGCATTAAGCAAAGATCTTGACTACTTCAAGTTCATACAAGAGTAGCAGAGAGGTCAACCTCTCTTTATAAAGAAAGGCAGGGTAAGAGTTGGATTGGTTTTGCGTTGAGTCCAACTTTGGTCTGATTGTTGTCCTCCTTCGCTATCGAGAGTGATATGACGCTACGGCACTTTTGAAATTGGGACTTGGTTTGAATTCAAACGTCTAATTAAGGTTGTTGACCGCTGTAGTGGGGTAGATAAAAATATGCCAAGTTATGGAAGCACCGGTATTCAGACCTCGGATCGCTCTCCACCAGACCTGCATTAGTCCACCCCCCCCCCCCCCCCAAGATACTGATTCTATAGATTGTAGTGCGTGGATAAGGTATCATCGAGAAAGCGAATTGGTTAACAAACGGAATTATGGCCTAGCTTGCGACCCCTGTTAGAAGAAGTGCAAGATCAGCTTACTTTGGTGTCAGGATCGGACTCTTGCGTGGATCATTATGGGCAAAGTTCTCCTACACATACGAAATTTCTCTGTCCACTGGATTTCTTTTAAAGTTAATAACTATTTTACTTATCAACCGCTTTACTTTTTCGCGATGCTAAATTGAACCGCCATTTTGAAAGGGAACCCAACAAATTTGTGTGTGCTGTCTCTCTGAAAAAGAAACAAGCAAGGGAGGTCACTTGATAATTTTGAATAAAATAAACTAAATAGATAGTCACTCCATCTAGTTTATTGGCATGAATATAAGTCACTCTATTTTTGACCTTAATAACAAAACGTCGCCATAGTGTTTACCATGTTTTGTACTGTTAAGATCAAAGTGCATTGCATATTGACAAGAGGAGTGAGAATCTCCGAGACGACCTATGGGGACTGGTCAACCGTATTCACTTAAACTCAGCTCTCTCTCAGCACATCGCAAAACTAAACCGTAAATGGGGGAGGGGGCGAGAGACTTATCTCCACGAGGTGCGCCCTGGGCAAAATAAGCTCACACGCCAAAAAGTCTATAAAGCGGCTGTGGGCTTCTGATTTCAAACTACCATGACCCGACTATGTGTCACATTCGGCCACTTCCGCAATACTCACCTTACCTTTTTCTCTGTCTTTATGCCATCTTCCGCCATTTTCACAGTACTCGCCTTACCCTACTCTCGACCTTTGTGCCTGTCTCTTTCACATCTTTAAAACACTCTTCTGCCCCCCTCCTCTCGACTTTTTTTCACTTTGATGATCCTCCCCTCTGTGAAGCCTGAAGTCAACTAAAGGGCTGACGATAACTATCTAAACGCCTGCCATTTGATATAAATAAATAAATATACTCTCTAGTCTTTCTTTATTTTCACTTCTCTCATCATTTGATAGAACGTCCAGTCCTCTTTCCCTGTACTGGTTCAGCTAAAAGATATTTACTAACGATCACTTATTCAGATCACATTTCCCGCAAGAAGGCCAGTAGATACATCAATTGTTTGGAAAGTAAACTGAAAGTTCCAGTCAAGATAAAACAAATCTAAAAGGAAGACAAAACTACTATTTATAATGCTTTTTTATCGGTGCACTTGACAGTCCTATTGAGGGCATGAAAGTTTTGCCAATGTCTCGGTCACTTAACAACTTTATGCCTCTCAGGCATTCGCCGTATTTGAAAATTAAATTTAGATGTCAAAAGTAAAATCAAGCGAGTGAACCAGTAGCTGGACGAATACAGCAATGTAATAAATTTATTCAATTGACCTAATTTAAATACATTTTAAGTTAAATGCCACTAAAGTAGTTACCTTGTTTACATCCGCAAGTGCTGTGGGCAAAAACGCAAGTCCCTTTTGCAACATGGAATAAACAACTGCTTTTGTCAATTTGGTAAATCAAACAAAGCATATTTTCTAATTTTAATGTTCTTATAGAGGCAAGTTGATTTGATTAGACCGAAGGTAAGTGAGCGTAAATCTTCTGTGGCACCTAATCTAAGGTTCTGACGGACATTCAATTTTCTGCAGTCCAAGTGAAAGTGTTGCAATTAACTATTGGAAATCCCTTCTCGCAATAAAACTTAGCTGGTGTAATCAGGGCAGATATAGTCACAGCTATAGCTTCGTCCCACTATGAACTACTTGTGATATTGGAGAATAAGTTATTTATATCAAATGTCAGATTTATGATAGTTATCATTAGCCATTTTGCTGACTTTAGACTTCATAGAGGGGTGGAATATCAAAATCACAAAGTGGAGAGGGAAAAAAGAGTGATTCACAGATGCAAAAGCGACAGACAGACACAGAGGTAAAGAAAAAGGTAAGGTGAGTACTGCGGAAGTTGGGTCATAGTAGTTTGAAGTCAGGAATCAACTGGCGGTTTGTTGACTATTTTGCCATATGAGTATGCGTTTCCCAGGGAGCACCACGTGGAGGTAAGTCTATCGCCCACCCCGTCTCGAGAGTCAATAGTGCATTTGATATGATTTAGACTAATTTTTAAAGCAGCAGGTATTGATTAATGATGTATCATTCAACACACTATTGTCTCCCATTTCGATAAGAAACCTGCAGTCTCTCTTGAATCTAGAGTGCAAGACAAGTTTAAGCAATTGTATCTGTTCATGGGCTAAAAGTATGGAAGAAAAATATCCTTGAAACACAACCAGTTTTGCACCTCACTTGAATGGACGTATTCAAGTACTTCACAATTTTCTTGCCTTAGGTTCAACGAGGTCGAGGATTTAGTGTCCTGGACTGAGGATTTTATAAGTCCCAGGCCTGGAATACTGGCATACCTTTCCGTAAATAAAAATAAGAAATTTTCAGGAGTTTGATTGCATATTTTGAACCATTTTCGTGTGAGCGGAAACAAGCACCTTTTTCACGCAATTGTCATAATTTTTGTCAAGTTAGCATCGTCTTTTGAACCCTCACCAATCCATGGTCAATCATTTTTCTAGAACGGAATTGTTTAGTACTGATCTCCATTCACCAAGACACTTGTAGCCTTGAGAACTTTAATTTTTACCCCCGGGCAGTTTTTTCCAATTTTAAATGCCCAATGGCTTAATTTTTAATGACTATCACTCCTCCACTGAATGTCTTGACCTCCATTAACTCCTAGGTCATTAAATTCAAATTAAAATGCCTCAGAGATTTTTGTATTAATTCAAAATGAAGTTAAATTTTTTTGATGATATGATCTATGCTGCCATTGGGGTGTGCGAGAGACTTACTTCCACGTGGTGCACCCTAGGCAACGTATACTCATATGGGAAAAAGGTCTATTAACCGGCAGCTGACTTCTGACTTCAAGCTATCATCACCCCACTGTATGTCATATTACACAGCTTTCACAGTACTCATCTCACCTTTACTCTGTCTTTGTGTCTGTCTATCTCCTCTACATCTGTGAATCACTCTTCTGTTCCCCCTCCCGAATTGTTCTCACTTTGATTTTCCTCCCTCTGCGAAGCCCAAAGTTAGCTAAATGGCTAATGATAAATATTCAAAACGCCTGCCATTTGAAATAATAATAATCTATGCTGGCAGAGAGGTATTCATGCTACTCACTCGACTCAGTACGCGATGCTTACACAGCTCTCTCTCTCCCCCTCCCTCCCACTCTCTCTCTCTAGTTCTGGTGTTGAAAAAGTGAATTCTGTTCCTAGCAATATTGTAAAGCCGGACAGAACAAAATGAATTTGATCGAGAAGTCAAAATTAATTTAGATACCACTTTATTATCCAAAATTTTAAAAACACTCATATGACACTTAAACTCAAAGAAGAGGAAGAAATTTATTTTGTAGCTCGAATGGAGGTGGGGGGGGGAGGGGGATGGGATCTCAAATATGGAAATGAATTTACCTCGCTTCGATTTGGTAGGTGAATAGCGATTCACTGCTTGGTAAGCCTTGCATTATAGCGCTGTGATTTTTACCAGTTGTCGTACATGTTCAGCTCTGAACGCTGAATTCCAATATGCGAGAAGTGAATATTCACCAAACTTATTGGAGCAGACTGCCTTACAAAGATAAATCACCTTAGAAGTCAAAAGACCCGTTTACAGGCAATTAGTGCATAACAGCTACCCTTTAACAGCCAAAAATAAAGTGATGCGGTTGGCAATTTCATTCAACGTATGGACACCGATGGGCATTGAATTCAATTAATACTCAGATGAACACCCTAACCAATGCGAAGTAAGTGGCATAAATAGTCAAAATGATAGAGAAAGACAGGCAGTGGGAATTCAGAATCCACAAAGCTGAAAAAGGTTGAGTATGAAATTGGTCAGAATTTTAATACTGGGCTGAGTTGAATGCTAAAGTTAATTGTTCACGTTTAATCAGCAACCAAAATGAAATCACTACGCAACATCGGAGTCAACATGTGTGATTAAGTTCCTGTCCGATCGTATGGATGTAATAATTGGTTCCACACAAGAACAGTGTTTTCTTAAGCTATAAGCAG